TTTTTTTGTTTTTTTTTTTTTTTTTTTTTTTTTTTTTGTAGCATTTCGATTTGTTGCTGATTCTGTGTGAAGATACTGTTTCCATCAGCATGTCTTAATATACTAAACTTGTCCCCTAAGCCCATCCTCTGAAGCTTGGTGCTACGGTAGGTAAACAAAAGTGACTTTACATTGGCGGGACTACAAGCCCAGACATAGCTAAAAGAAAAAGAGAAGAAAAAAAAAAATCAGCCGTTATTAGCATGCTTGTGTAAGGCACATCTGGTTCAAAGCGCCCGCGATGCTCAGCACCGGCCGGGAGCAGGATGGGCTCCCCGGCTCCTCCACACCACGGCACGGCAGCCTCTGAGCGAGGGGCCACGGGTACGCGCTTCTCCCAGCAAAACGCCCCGACGGAGGCTCCGAGAGGGGGGTTCTGTGGGCTGAGCGCCCCGATTCCCACACGAGCAGCCCCTCTCCCAGCACGGGGCTGCGAGCGAGGCCACGGCCAGGCTCGGGACAGCCGAGGACCAACACGGCCATGCCCGGGCGTGTCGGACACCCCTCAGGGATGTCCCCGCGGTGGGAACCCACCGACCACCGCTTTGTGCCCAGGCCTGGCACCCGGGCAGAAAACCTCCATTTCCACAATTGCGCTTTATAACCGCGGGGCTGAGCGAGCCAAGGACTCTCTAAGACTGAAGCCAAGTACTCTACACCTGCTCCTAACTCTGGAGGCCAAGCACCATAAAAAGGCACGAGATTAACACCCCTGATCCGCCACCTTTTTTTTTTTTTTAAAAAAAAAAAAACAGATAAAGACTGAGATGCCAACAACTACTGCTTTTTTCCTAGTTAACTCTTTGGTAGAAACATAATTTAGACAGTCTTTAATTTTAGTGTTGTTTAATTTTTGCCATAATGATATTTCTCATTAATTTATGTACAACAGATATTAATAAATTTGTTCGTGTAGTGATGTGAACTTCAATTTCTCAGTTCATTAATTTCAACAATATTAATTTATTTCAGATTCGCTGTTACAGCTTTACGGTTTGGAAGAGCTGGGTATGTACACATTTTGTAGGTAGCACGACCTCCTCCAGCAGCCAGCAGCGTGGTCTGCACGACCCGACCTGCTCCGACGGCTGCGGCCGGAGCCCCCGAGCAGCTCTGATCCCGCAAGTGCCGTCGGCACCTGACGTGAACGACTCGTGTGGGGATGTATCTCTCTCTAAAACACATCTCAAGGGATGCTCTTCCAACGGGTTAAAGTTCTCCAACTCTGTTACTTTTGTCCCCAGTTAGATGTATTGAATATGTCAAAATTTAAAGGGAAGTTAGAGTTTTCATGAGTTTACAAAACTGCGTGTTGTCAACGTAAACGGTGACAAAAGTTACAAAACTTAAAATAACTGGAGAAGAGGGCGTGTCTTGGCAGAGATACACACATTATTGTGCTGGATACACCTTCTACCCAAACCATTTAGTTCCCCGACCACGTTTCCACCAACTCTCCCACGTCCCGCACTGTATGACCCCGGGCCAGCAGACAGCCTACCGCACATCTAGACCTGCCCAACCCCGTGCTCTCCAGCTGACATCTCCTGTGAGCCGCGCCCCAGAGGGAAGCCTGGTACCACCTGGGCAGAGGTTTGGTTACGTGGGGTGCACCTCAGCTGGGGCACGCGGGAGCTCATTTCCAGGTGCTGTTAGGCTGCCGTACAACCATCCGCTGCCCTGGACGTCAAGATCACCGTGAGTCAACCCAAAATACAGGGTCTTCCTGTCTTTTCTGGGTCAGGCTCAGCAGGGATCTCCCAGCACGCTCTTTGTTGAGGCAATGGTGAGACGTATAAAGGCTAAGTCCTGGAGCCAGCGGGAGACATGCTCCGCCAGCACCCCAAGCAAAGTGCAGAACTCCAGGACTGAACCGGACATTTTCCTCAAAGAATTTAGCAGGGAAAAAAGTCCAGATTTTTCTTCCAGAACTCATGTGCATAAATCCCTTAATAAACAGCACATCATTATTTGGTACTAATACCCTGCACACCTTAATCACACGTTTATTGCAATCTTGTGTTTGGCTTCAGTTGTGGGAAAATTTAGCTTGTGTGCTGCATGCTTTTCTGGGGGAAAAAAAAAAAGAAAAATAAAAAAGCCTGAATTCTTTAATTTAAGCTATTTAGCTATTTTTGTTAAATTCTATCTGTGGCACAATGGGAGGAGGGAGCAAAATTGGTGCTCCAGACATTCAGCTCACTATTTATTTTAGTGGCAACATTTGACAATTGTGAATTTCTGCACCACGTTTTCCCGCTGTGCAAATTGATACCAAATGCCTTCTTAAAGAAAAATGGGGCGGCTAGGTTTTTTTAATAATAATTTTAATAGTTTCATCCAGGGGAAGACCAGAAAATTAAGCAGGATGCAATTTTAAAAGAATATAGAGACCTTTTTGCTCTGCATTACAGCCATAAAGCTTAACCGGAGAGCAATATCTTTCACAATCTATAAAAAATAAATTACAATTGAAAACCAAATTTTGAACACATATTGTCCTTCCAACTTTTTAGCAAGCCAGCACTTTCTCACTAAAAAAAAAAAAAAAAAAAAAAAAAAAAAAAAAA